GGTGGAAAACAGGCCCATCAGTATCACGTGGTGGTGTGCAACCCGCCCTACCGCTCGGAGGCCCAGCAGGCGGCCTACGATGCCGCTTCCGGGCAGTTTGGTGGCTAGCCGGAGGGCTTCGCCTGCTGCCGGCGGTACCCTTCTTCTGATTTCCGCACTGCCTGGGTGGCTGGCCGGGAGAGTGGCTGGCTGGTTGGCTGGCTAATCACCAGGGGGGGACAAACACAGACGCAAAGAATCGTCGATTCCCAGGAAAACATGCGAAAATATGGGAAGTGGGGGGAAGCCAGAAGCCCAGAAATTATAGGAAAATCTGGGGAATCCTGAGATTAGTGTGTATTTATTTGTGTGTTTGTTGGTTAGTTGGCAGGTGCGGCTGGTACGCTAGGTTCGCGTCGTGCCGACCGGCAGCGACCCCGCCCGTTCCACGTTGAACGCTGGCGGCGGCCCAGAATCGGTCGATGTTCAAAGATCTGGCGCTTCGGAAACGGCCGATCGTTTCAGGTTGAACGATCCGCGCGGTGTCAGGAACCAGCGCGGAAGTCTCGGAGGTTGACAGACCTCCTGCCCTGACACGTCGCTTAGCGAATTGGCGTTTTCGGTTCGCGAGAGGGCGTCGCGGCCGTCATTTTTGCAGGTCCAGGTCAGTCGGTTTCGATCCTAGGCCGTTTTCACTAAATGGAGGTTTGTCCATCGCCGAAAGTCGGCACGACACGAACCTGCCGTAGGCTGGTCGATTGGCTGGCTGCTTTGTCGTCTTGGGCGAGGGGAGTGGGCCAGAGGTGATGGGCCTGTTTTCCACCACCACCACCATAGGTTGGAGGGGGAGGGGATCCTCCTCCTCCTCCTCCTCCTCCTCCTCCTCCTCTTCCTCCTCCTCTTCCACCTCCTTCTTCCCCTAGTGGTGAAAAACAGGCCCATCAGGAGGGGAGGGAGGGGGCCAGGGGAGAGAGGGGGGACCACGGGGAAGGGTGGGGGCCACGGGGGGGAGACAGGGCGAGGGATGGGGACCAGCGGAGGGGACCAGAGGAGGGAAGGGGGCCGCGGGGGGGAAGGAACCACGTGGACCAGCGTGAGGGCAGGGGGCCCAGGCAAGAGACGGAAACCAGCAGGGACCATGGGAGGGAGGGGGCCCAGGGGAGGGCACGGGCACGGTCTCAGAGGGTCCTGGCCTTGTGACGTGCCGGGGAGCGCGGATCGGTTCTCGTTGGAATTCTTGACGCTCCGCACGTCCCCACCTTGTTACCTGTTTGGACGGCGCGCAGCTGCCTGCGTCGCTCGCGAGCCAAACAGCGTCCCCACCAGTTGCTCGGAGCACAGCCCGAGCTGACTTGTGTCGCCGCTGTGCGCCTTCGCCTGCGGCCGCGACGGAAAAGCGTCCCCACCAGCCCATCGGAAAACAATCACCAGGGGAGTTGATCCAATGTGTGATGTGTGATGTGTAGCAGCACGAATCGAAGAAGAAAAAACACTCATATACATCATTTGTTGGAGCTCCGCGCGGATCTCTTGGATCCGGAAGATGGGAATCTGCAGAAGGAGCTCGTTAAACCACTCACGTCTAGAGGTCTGGTGGGACTTACGAGTTTCAGGCGGGCGGATCGCTGGGTGGGGGATGGCTCCTTGTATTTCAATGTTTGTTTGTTGTGAGCGGCCACGATGGCCCAAGAGGGTGTCACGAGGGCGATCAGATGACCCAAGATGGCATGAGGAGGAGGACAGGATGGCCCAAGAGGCCTCCAAGGGACTCCAAGATGGCCCAAGGGGCGCCGGGAGACTCAAAAGAGGCGCTACATCACAAAGCTTGCACCGCATAGCTTGCAACACA